AAGTACTCTAAAGCATATAAATAAGTTACCCGAGTAATTGATTTATGTTAGCCAATCAGACGAACTTCTGTCTATGACATAGATGCTAAATTGCATGACAAATATATTCGTCTCAAACTAGAAGCAAAGAAATACCCCCATACGTCTGTGGATTAATACATTTAATGGCTTGTATGGCTTTGGATATAACTTTACACCAGTTATCAGAATTATTTCTGCACTATCATCATATAATATAAAGTTTTCTGACGAACAATCTTATTAACTAACCTTTAAAGGTAATCCTATATTTTTCTGAATCTGTTTTTTTATACGAAGGCAAGACAGCTGTAATTGCTTGATGAAATATTTGTCTTAAATTTTCCTTTGCGACCCAAGGTTCTTCATTCATTGCATGATAAACTACTGAAAACGCAGTTATGTGTTCTGGTAAAGCCACACGAAGAAAATTACAAGTAGAATCATATAATGCGTTCATTCTTGCGTAATTAATTTGGATACAGAAAATAATGTTAAATTTCTATTACACAAGTAACAAAAAAACAAAAAGCGTCAATGAATTCGTATACTGCCCTTTTAAACGATTTCGCATTTCCTCTTTCTGGTATTTCGTGTGAGGCATGTATGTGACATTAACAATAAAAAAATTTTCACAAATGAGCCGTGACCGCAGTGGACTATGAACTTCCATATACGGATTGTTGGACGAGCATCTATGGCACAAGTTACCGGACGTCATGGTACTTTTCGCGGTGATTCTTACATAGTTGTCAGAAGTTAAGAGGTGAATATAGTGACTTAAGAAACAGTATGAAAAAATAAACTGGCAATAACTGAGGTTGACCACAACGGATACGCAAACCATAAGGTAAACAGTACGCAATTGTCTACCGTAGTTGTGTGCACAAGAGAAAACCTTGTGATACACGACGAATACGCAAATCATCAGAGAATCAGGACGCACTTGATTCTCCTAGTCGCATAATCACGTTTGGAAAAAAAGAAACATTATATATGTAATAACTTACTTACAACCGTATTTACTTCTTCTGAGTCATCCTTCACTAGTTCGTTGAGGTCGTTCTTGAGTTTAAGAGCTTCCTTTTGAAATGAGTAAGTGAAGTCGGGTTGTTTTCGACGGTACCAAAAAAGCTGTAATTTCTGGCTGGAGTTTCAAGAAAATAAGCAGAACAAGACATTGTAAACAAGAAGATAAACATCATAAGTCGGTATTGACTATTTATACGATGATCGCCCGATTAAGGGTACGCGCAGGCGATCATTCGTGTCTCGGAAGAATACAATGAGCAAATTTGTAATGCGAAACTTTATTATTTTTCAATTATTAAAGAGGCCGGCTAATTTAATGACATATTAGAGTGGTGGACGTTTAAAGGGAGGAAAACACGCAGGCCCCAACTCAATTATTATGGCTACAAACAGGTGCTTGGTGATTTTACTCTGTTTACATTATAAATAGAAATGGAAAAAATCTACTTACCCATACTCTTTCCTCATTCGTGCTACAAGACTCGATTTATATATGCTAAAAAAATTCATGGAAATGCACATACTAAGAGTTACGATTTCAATTTTGTTTAAATAAAGCAACCCATTGTTAGCATTTTGACAAACGATCATACGACTAGAATCTAAATACAATCTTATAATTAATTTCCTCATAACAAAGATTTTATAATAGTGTTAGCCTTTCTAGTAACATTATTAGATGATTGAATAACAGCCTTGTTAACAGTATACCCAGCGACACCACCAATTACAGCTGAAGTTACAGTCGTTGCAAGCCCAGTTCCAGCAGCACCAACGGATTGCAATACAGCACATGCACTACCAGACGCTACCGCTCCTCCGTATGTGGACATGAAAGTGGCAGCCGCAGAGTTTGCCGCTATTCCATTAGCGGTAAATCCGGATGCTTTTGCCGCAGTGGCAAATACAACCGGTCCTACTAAAGCACCCACACCTGCTGTTACCACTACGGTTGTGATGACTGGGTGTTTAATAGCTTGATCCTTTACCGATTTTGATAAGTTTTTGATCGGTTCTGTATTGCATTAAAAATAAATATTAGAGTGAGAGTAAATTTATGCGCAAGCGAGCTCGTAATCTTTTTGTAAACCAATTTTCAAAAATTACCTGCTACTTCTGTTACTTTGCATCCAAGGTTCTTGACCTGTTCTTCTGTTTATTTGTATTGCATAGAAAGAGAAAAATTTGTAAAAACATTTACTATGAGTTTTATGATATTAAACTGTAAAAGTAATTTCTTGTACCATATTTGCCGATTCCGTTTGTCGCAGCGACGAATACAGACGGTCCTATAAAAGCACCCGAGTTTGTGATGATTGGGTGCTTGGAAGCTTGATTATGCAATTGATATCCAATGTATTTGACCTTTTCTATGGGAAAACATATTTACTTTTAACTCATAACCGCAAAAATAAAAATTGAAGAATCCTATCTTATTTCTTTTGGAAACTTACCCATCTCACACTTTTCTGCAAAGTAGCGTTTTTCCGAATAAATTGTTTTTCGTCAATTCAATAGACTACAGTGCCCGTAGCAGAATATTGTGACCACTTTTAAATTTTAAATATCAAGCTAAATAAGCAAAATATTAAAACAAACTAAAAATTTTGAATTCTTGAAAAGTATAGCTTTCAAGAAAAAGCAATTACATACAGTAGTTTTTGAATTTAAAATATTTATCAATACGACTGGGTATCGAGATATCGCACATAAATGAAATACATAATTTGGCATGCTGCGACTTTTACGTACGATATCTCATTAGACTATATATAGGGTGTCTTCACATAGGGGTTTTGGATTTGGTTTCGATCAATCTTAGATTAGTTTTGGTTTGACGCAATCCAAACCA